CAGAGCCCTTCTCTCCCCTCTGCCCTCAATGCCCTTTCCAGCTTCTATTTCCTCCCCCTCCCCGGGAGCAGCGGGCGGCTCTTGTGTGACCCACTGGAGGCTGTGTGCACTGATTCTTCCTCCACATGAGACACCTTTTCCTTTCATCACTGGGCCAGGGATAATGCCAGGGCTTGGTTTTGGAACAACCTCTGCCCAATGTCTTCAGTTTCCACTTTAGTCTGGCTGTGTCATGGAAGTTATACTTTTTTCCTTCTTGCTTCTGCCATTCTTTTTTGGTCTCCTCCAGCTCAGTTACGTCTTATTTGAATTTATTGTTTCTTTGGGGGGTGGTTTGGGGTCTGCACAGAGTTGTATCTCAGTATGATCTAAAGTTTTCCTCATTGGTCCCTGCTGCCGTGGCTTTATCTCCCATCTATGTACCTACGGCCCCCAAACCTAACATTTGCAGCCTAGCTTTGAGAACTGGATTCGCAAGTTTAATTCTTTGCTTCACAGAAGCTTAGACTTAATACACTGAGACAATTCCTAATGTTCCTTCCTGAGTCTTGTCTTCCCCTCTCCAAGGAGCCCATCCCAGGAAAATTGCCCCTTCCAAGTTTCTTCTTTAGAAAACTCAGGAGTCAAACTCCATACTCCCTTCTCCTCCACTCTCCAATCCAAAACTATCTCTAAAATACACCTTGATGTCCAGTATCACCATTGAGCTACCATCTCCCCTTGCCACTTCTCCAAATAACTGCCAATTGCTTACTCCCACTTCTTCTCAGATTTCTCCTCCAGGCTATGCCCCACAGCAGTCAAATTTGTCACATTAACATTCAAGTCCACTCATGTTTCCTGCTTAAATCCCTCCAATGGCTACAGATGGAAAACCACATCCTTAACATGGTGCTCAAGCTCTGTATCACTGACTTCCAATGTGCTTTAGCCTGTCCCGTGCTTCTCCTACCCCTCATTTCTGGACCCCACACTGGCCTCCATTTAGCGCTTTTTACCTCAGAGTCTCTGCAAATGCTGGTCCATTTGCCCGGAAGGCTTCTCCCTAGCCCTTTACCTGGATAACTCCTGCTCTTCCCTCAGTCTTTGTTTTAATTGTCACCTGTTGGACAAGCCTTCTCTGATGGTCTGCTGTCACATGTTCTCATGGGACCCAGTATTTTTCCTTATACTGTTGTACCTCCTAGCTCCTAGCACAGAGCCAGGCACATAGTAGGTGTCCAATAAATAGTCAGTGAAGCAGAAAGAGGGAAGGAAGAAAAGGGAGAAAGGATGGAAGGCTACAGGTAACTGCTAGAGTGGGGTAACTTTATAAATCACTGTGGGTCTCAGGTCTTGAGAACTTGAGGGGCCACCCACTAGTCCTGCACTTTAAGGCAGAACTGCCGAACTCTGCCCTGTCTAGGGCCTGTCCTCATTCCCAGGAATAGCTCATTTAAACCATGGCTGGTTTTTAGCATTGGTCTGCAAATATCATTCATATATGACCAACTCTTCTTTCTGGTGCTTCCATGGCTCAGGAAGAGGCCTTTCCTTCCTGAATGCAGGTGGAATTTCAGTGAGTTTCAGACGGCCCTGGAGGGGGCATGCTGGAAAGGTTTAGGAGAGTGGAAGCCAGCAAGCCAGAGAATCTGTCCCTTCCCAATGCACTCTCTCCCTCTGGTGGCCAAGAGGTGACACAGCATGGTATGAATCCTTCCAAGTCGTCCAGATAAGTGAGGGGCGATATCTAGACACGTGATCTTCATGACACTATATACCTGGATTTACTAGAAATGTTCTGGAAAGAACTTGTGTTAAATTCAGTGTCTGTGAATTACATTAAAAATCCAGTTGAAAATTACTTTCTTTCCCAAGCATATTTCCCTGAATCTAAGATATTATCAACTGAACATTCTGTTATTATTTTGTGTCTTACCATGAAAGAAGAAAATGCTGCCAATTAAAATTGCAAGATGCACTCTGATTTAATAAATGTTAAAATATGAGAAAGATGTATATTTTTTAATCAAGGACATATGACAAAAGTCATAGTGATGCAACTCAAGTAGACCGGAATAGGAATTATTTTCTAACTATGGGACGTCAAACATTTATATATTTTTTGATGGAGAATGTGTGTATACATCATGAGACCTTGAAGAACAGGGCCTATTACTGTGTTGATTTCTGCATTTGCATTGCTCAGCAGAAAGCATGACACATAATAAACCCTCAATATAAGTTTAATAATTATGGAAAGAATGGATGATTACACAATGGAAGTACTCTCCAGAGTCTTTCCAAAAAGGCTCTATCTTCTCTTCTTTTGAGTGTCTCAAGGGCAGTTAATATTCCCAATTACAGACGGAGAAGTCAAGGCCCAGAAAAGCAGACCAAGAGTTGTTTCTCACATGGATGTAGCTCTCTGCACTCTCTGAAGCAAGCTTGCTGCCTTGGGATGGCAGCTGCTGGGAGGAGAGACCCAGGGAAACCGGCAGCTTGCTACAGAGTCAAGATTAGACCCAGTTTCCCACCCTGGGCTCCTTCTGTTACTCCAACCGCCTTGTAGGGCACAGCTGGGGGAGGCAGAGAAGGGGGGCCACCCTTCAGCCTGGGGCCAGGCCCTCAGCCCAGTGTCCTATTTCATAAGCCCACATAACCTCAGCAGGAACAACGTGATTGCATCTCCTCCGGGGAACACAGCGTTCCTTTGCCATGGGAATGTTTATCCTACTCAAATGGGGGAATTTTGGCTTTGGGGTAGGGGCGAGACATGCAGCAAAAGGAGTCTTGTAAAGAGGTCAGTGTTTGGAAAGAGCACAGGCTTCGGAGGCTGAGATGCCCAGCTTCACTCTCTTCTCTGCCACAAGGTGCGGTGTGGGTCTCTGCTTCTCCCCCTTTAAAGGGTTCTTAGGACAGTGAAACGGCTGACTTGGTTTTTGGCGCATAGTAGGCACTCAGTGACTTTTCAGTTTCCTCTCTTCCTGTGCTCCCAAGCCGAAGGGAAAGATGGCTAAAGCAATCCGATGAAGTGCAAGCTGGCTGGTCTGAAACAGAGCGCCTTTCAGAAGTTTCCATAAGGCGTCGGCCACTTGTTAAAACTGGACAGGGAAATGGCTGCCCGAGCCACGTCCCGTCTGAAGGCGGCAGGCCTCAGAGCCCATTCCCAGCTCCGCTCTGAGCCAGTCCATTAAACCTGCTTCCAAGAACACATAATTATCTGCTTGGCGTGAGAATGCTCCCCTTGGCTGCCTGTACCGCCTCCTCTCCCTCAGAAATGTGGACACAAAGGGCTGTTTGCATTGGCCTCCTCTTTCTCCCAAGAGTTGGACTCTCCAAGTGTTCCCGCAAGGGGGCTCCCCCCACAGACTGGGCCCTCGCCCCTAGTTGTGAAGATGCTCCCTGTTGAATACCTACTGTGTGCCCCTGGGCTTCCCAGAGAGGGCACAGAGCTGCAGAGACAGGGAGAGAGGGAACAGACTGTCCATGTGGGGGCAAAGTGGCGGGGTTGGGGGCAGCGTGGGCACAGGGGCTGCTGGCGGAGCCCAGGGCAGTCCCCAAACCTCCCACCACTGGCAGAGACCAGCCCAGGCTTTCATGTCAGGACTTGGTTGAACCAGCAAGAGGGAGGTGAACACTCCAGCCAAGGAAATGCCTGAAAACAATACACACCTGGTTTGTGCCAGGAAATCCCCATTGTAGGCCCTGCTGGAGCAGGGGGCTGCCCGCAAGGAAAGGTGAAGCTGGGTGTTAGAAGCTAGACTGCGAAGAGTCCTTAGTCCATATATCTGGACCCAAGTTCCCTTCCCAACATAGGAAACATGGCGCCCACTCTCCTGTACTGAGTTTGAAATTCTTCTGGCTCTTTTCTCTAAGAGACAGTTTCTGGTAGCAATGCAAGAACATGCCCCTGCCCAGTGGGAAGAGGCTGCACCCTCCCTGGCACATTCCTGCAGTTGCGAGAAGAACCTGCAGCTGGGGTGGAGGGGGGAGCTTCTTGAGTTTTTGATGTGATTCAGTGCACAGTCCAAGAGCCCCCTCCCTGAGACCTGTTGGGTTTAAATCTGGGGTGACCTTGTCGTGGGGGGGGGTGAACATCAAATGGTCTTACATCATCTTTCACCCAACTGAGTTACTGAGGTTGCAGAGTTCTGGAGAAGGAGAAATGATTAGTAGGTTTCATTTATTGACTTGATTAATTTTTCCTAAGGCTTTGCAATTGATGTAATTATGGAAAAGGAGAGTTTCCATAAATTTTTAGAACCTTAGGAACTGAAGGTACATCCTAATGCTTCTCTCAAACAATGAAGGAGCTGAGTGCCTCTGACTGTTGGCAGGGGTCCCATGGCCCTGTGAGGTGGGCTGTTCTGACTGTGAACAGCTCTGATTACTGGAAACCCTTGGACATATGGAGTTGACATCAAGCCCTTTGGGTTTTACCCATCATGGGTTCCAGTTCTGTTCATACCGTGGGCATGGACACATGCCCTTCCTGTCTCACATGAGTGCACTTCAGATGTTGATTCCAAGCCTTCCTTTCTCTGGGAATGGACCTTTGGTTTGGTTCACCGTTCAAGGCCCCAGACTCTCTGCTGTTCTGATTCAGTGACAGAGGGACCAAAGGCAGGGATGTTACTCATCCTTGCTGAGTCAGGCTGGTTCCCGGGCCAGGGGCACTGGGGTGATCTCTGAGCCGGTGGATAGCTGCTGAAAGGAAGAAATCAGCTGTGCAGGGCTCAGTGGATGCGGGAATGGGGACAGAATAGGCCCATGGGCTGTTGGATCATCCCCAGGGAGACCAGGGAGGGGATAAAGCCAGAAGAGGCCTGGTCTCTAGACAGATAAGCTGGGGAAGCGGGGAAGGGGCCTGGCCAGCTGCAGGGCCAAGGTGAGAGGTGCCACTCTCAGGGCTGATTGTGTAAGAGGTTGGCTGAGCCCTCCCTCTTGTCAGGGGCGGCCCAGGGCTTTTCTTGGCAGCTCCAGCCCAGTGAGTCTGATGTGGGCTCAGAGGAGCCTGACTCACTGGGGCCAGAGGGTCAGGCCGGGTGGACTGGAGTCAGGAGACACAGCTTCTCCGGGCCCTCTGCAGACTGTCTGGGGTTAGATGGCTGTTGGCCAGCGTGCCGGGGGGCTGCATCTTTCTAGGCTCTTCTGCAGGGCCAAGCCTGGAGCCTGCAGCTGGGAATTTAACCAGGGCCCTCTGCTGGAAGTCTCAAGACTCTCTGTGGGGCAGAGGTAAGAGACCAGACTTTTGATCTCTTCCTTAGATATTAGCTTGTGTTTGGAAGGACATTCAGAGGGGCTCACCACACCCTTCTCAGCTGACACTTTTCAAGTGGGATGACCCTTCCATGTGCCAGGTACGGAACTCCTGCCTCACCATGCCAACAGCGGTGATTACCAGGCCATCATTGTTCCCTTCGAGGGCCTCTGTCTATGTCTGTCTATTCTCTCCCTCTGGGCCAGGCCAGCTCCGCACTGGTGCTGGACAAAGGACCTTTAAACACTAGGTCACGCCACAACTCAAAAAGCAGGTCTGGGTGTCTCATTACCTCTGGACGTGACCCCCTCGGTCTGGGAGTGATGGGGGCCCAGCGTACAGGCCAGCACGTTGCTCTGGATGTCTGGATAGGAAATAGCTGTATATTTAAGCAAGCGTGGCTTAGAAAAGAGTACAGTGCCAAATTTTTACTTAAAAAAAAAACACACATTTCTAAGTCTGTGGCAACCTAAAGGCTGCTTTAGGTGTGTCCACCTGGGAGGAGGTATCGTGCGCCCCCATCGCGTGGGGCTTCTTGGGGGAAATGCTAAGCAGCACTGAAGGTGGCGCCTGTCCTTACTCCCCACGGCTCAGCCTCAGGGCTGGACCTGAGCACATTCTCCTGTCCTGGGGGAGGTCTCCGCTGGCCCCATGGCCTCCTTGGGCTCGATTCTATGGCTTGTGTCTTGTTCTCCATCATCCGCCCTGATCCTGCCCTGAGCTTGGCTATGTCATCACCATTGTGCCTTCCTGACCATCCGGAGGGACTTTTCACCTGTGTGGTGGTTGGGATCTGTTTCACAGCATAAGAATTACACACGTCTCTTTCACACACACACACACACACACACACACACACACAGAGCATTCACACTATGAACCCTACCAGTTCTGCACTGTAAACCTTCATGCACACAATATTTCGTACTTGACAGAGCACTTTCCTGATGATCACTGCATTTGTTTCCTCAAACGATCCTACAGCGTGGGGAGAGTGGTAGAGTGGTGTATTCTTCTCACCACAGGTTGTTGTTTGAAGTCAGATGGGGTGGACACAGGAGCCAGGGCTGACCCTGCCTCCTAATGCCCAGACCTGGGCTCTTCCTGCATCACTGACACCCCTGCTGTGGGCCCTGGACTGACAACCCCTGGACTCTTCTTTAAGGATGGCCCTCGGCCCCCAGGCAGAGACCGGGGGCCTGGCCGCACACGGTTTAGGCTTTTGGTCTTTGGATGCAGTGTCTACAAACACACGCTTCCCTTCAGGCTGGACCACCATGTGAGCTGGCACTCTGTGTAACCAGGGTGGCATGTAGCCTGGTCCATCCTTGTGGCAGGGAGAGAGTTCTGTACTTGAGTTCTCCAAAGGGCTTCGTTTGGCATGTCCGTAAGGCCCTGGAGCTACCCCCTTTCTTTGCAACAAAACTTGATCATTTTCTTTCCTGCACGGATGTTTGTTTTCTAAAAGCAACACAGATTAGAGTGGGGAGTCAGGCTGTCCCTGGGAGGTTGCAGAAGCTAGGACAGACCCCATCAGGTGCTGTCCTTGGAGGCTCATAATTCAGGTAAAACAGAGTCAGGTGAATAATGAAGGCCTCTGTGGACAGAGTGGAGGGGTGTAGAATGGGGTGAGGGGTGCTGATAAGACGGGGCGGGGAGTCAGTTAATGGGTCATTCTTAAGCATCAGCTGAAGGACCAACTGGTCTGGATTCTCCCAGGGCAGCCTCCTTCCTGTCCATCCTGTGACTTCAGACAGTGCTTCTCAGCGTGCAGTAATGTGCTTAGGAGTTGGCTTTCCCTCAGTCTCCCAGTCTTCAAAATTAGCTTCACATAAGCCATTTTCTGCACATGATGAACCCAAGCCACTGTTTTCAGCTGGTTTGGTGGGAACTAAGTAGGGAAGAGTTGTTTTCAAAGCACCTGCCCTTTCCCGTCAGCCAGACATGAATTCTCCTTCCTTTAAACCCTGAGAGCAGAGATCCTCAACCTTGACAGCACTTGGTCATCATCTTCCTCTAGGGAGCTTTAAAAATGGTGCTGTCTGGGCTCCTTCTCCAGAGATTCTGACTTGAGTGGTCTGGAGGCGCAGCGTGAGATGCTTCAAAACTCCCCAGGGTTACTGACTTGTAGGGCAGATGGAGACACGCTGACCTAGGTCTCTGTGTCTGTCCTTGTTGTCTGGTCAAAGTGAGTGATGAGCATCAGCTCCAGTTCTAAATGCAGGAGCTCAGCCCCACCTGCAGAAGCAGAATCACTTGAACAAGAGTCCCAGGACTGCTCTTTCAGGTCTTAGGGGCACAGATGTAGGGGTCTCACCTGGGCATGGTGGCAGAGGGCCTGGAAAAGATCTTCCTTCATTTCAGAACCTCTGTTTCAATTAGCAATAATCGCGCCTTGGATAAACCTCATTGGCTATGATACTGCCACTGCGCAAAGCTTTCAGAACCTCTGTTTAGTGGTCCAAGCATTCAGCAAACAAGCAAAACCAGATAGATATAGGAACAGCAAAACCAAATCAAAGCAGAAGTTATTTAGTTAAATGTAATCTGCGTCCTTTGTCTCCAGATGAAAGGACATGTCAAACACCCCAGTCTTTTCCAGTGTGTGTGTGTCTTGACCTGAGACGCTAAGTCCCTGCTTCCCAAATGCAACCTGCACCGGTCATAGCAATAGCCTACTCCTGAGGAAGCGGGTTATGGGGCGGCACGATTTCAGAAATAAACGTGTACTGCCTATGGAAACAGAGGCTCATTCAGCTGTTGGAATATTGAAATCCAATGCTCACCTGCCTTGTAAATCTATATGAGAGCCATAAAGAGGGGAGACACAGAGGGGCTGTTGATTTGCCCAGCCCTAAAGAGAACAGAAGCGTGGCCCCACACCGGGGTGAGTGGAAGGTAGGGGGCTTTGGTGGTGGTGTCCTCATGCAGCCTTGCCAGAAGCTTCAGTGGGGGCTGAAGGCAGCAGGAGGCACCAGGGAAGACCCTTGGGGGATCAAGCGATTAGTGGGACTCTCAGAGAGGAGAGGACAGAGAGACCCCCATCTGATGTGGAAAGGGACATTTCGTGGAGATAGTAAGAAGAGAAATACTGTTGGGATGGGCAGAGGGGAAGGCAAGAGTGGAGGAGAATTCCAGACACAAGAAAAAACATGAAGAGGTGGAAAAAGTGTGCCTGAGGACAGGACAGAAGAGAAAGTGAAGTCACAGCGCAATAGATGCTGACACGCTGGTCATAAAGGAAAGGCCAAGGAGGCAGGCAGACTGATGGGGCGAGGCCGCTAGACGCCCCAGAGCCAGTTGTCTCTGCTCTGAAGGGACAACGACCTTCACACTGTCACCCCCCAGCAGGGCTTCCTTCCTCCTCCCACTTCCAGGAGTCGAGTGAAGGACAGAGGAGAGGGATTGAGCACTTCTCTTCATCGGCCTATGTGTGGCTCCTGGCGTATCATCTGAACTCAGAAATGGCCCCTGGGCCAGCTATCTAAGAAGGAAAACCAGAGCTTAACAATTCCAGCTTCATTCTGCCCTTGCTGCCCCCTCATGACTAATAGGACTGACAAAACGAGCTTTCTTCAGATGCCCAAAGAAGTCACTTGGGGTTGCCTCAGTTGAGTGACAAGGAATGTGTGCATTTGGAAGTGGCTGAACACATTTGCCAAGATGCTTGTCCTCTGACCCCCTGAGGCTTGACTGAGGTAATGGGAGAGCTAAGTTGGCTATATTTAAACGGCCAAAAAATCTGAAGAGATGGAATTTGTCTGGACATCACTGGAAAGTAGACTGAGCTTGTTGTGAAATCTCCGAAGATGTATTTTCTCTTGAGTGTCTGAGAGGAGGGGTGAGGGCTGATGAGCAAGTTCCACTGGGATGGAACAAAAAGTGCATGGAATCTGGAGCCCAGCCAAACTCCAGCTCTGCCACTCACCCTGGTGCCACGTCAGACCCAGTCCACCCTCATGGTGAAGCAGGATGTCAGTGACCGCCTTGCAAGGCCATGTGCAGAGGGCCTAGTGCACTGCCTGGCACTTGGTAGGTGTCAGCCATGGTCAGTTCCTACCTCCCTTCACCCACATGTTCTGGGGTTGTCCACAAATTCTAAAGACTCCAACCACCAGGGCTTTTAAGAGAGTGGATTAGATAATGTAAATATTTAGAAATGTTAATCTTTCAAAATTTCTCTGTAGCAAGTCTTATAGTGAAAACTGTTCTTTCATTCGAAAGTGTTTGTTGAACACCTACTATGGACCAGTCACTGGAGATTCAACAGCGAGTGAGAAAGAGCCCTTCTTGTCTTAATGGAAACCAGAAGATAACCTGTAAAGGCCCAGGGATGGGACTGTCTGGTTGCTACGAGGGCAAGGTAGGTTATGGAGGTGGCCTCAGTGATGAGAGGCATCACTAGAATGTTTTGGAGAAAAACTGGGGAGGCTAAAAGTCCTTCAATATTCAGGACGAGCTTATAGACAAGGGGTTGTCCCAATCAAATGCTCAGTGAGAAACCATCATAGACCAAGGGTGAAAAAAAGTCATGGGAGCCAGAAACTTGTCTGTCAGTAGAAATATGTTTAATATCATCATTTCCCTAACATCACCTTTTAAGAGACCTTTGAATTGGGTGTTAAGGGATCTCATAGCCTGTTTTCTTTTGTTTTTCAGGTTTTCTAGGCACTTCTCTTTTCTCCTAGGGCTTTTCCTTCTACATGATGATTGTTTTCATTTTTTGGTAATGTTCCTGATTCCTTCATGCACAAAGCTCATGCAACCAACTGTGAGTTAAGAAGTGGGATTTACTCAGGATTCTAGGCTTCCACAGACCCCCTTGATCAGCTATTTGCCTCTACAAGGGGTCTAGCTTTGATTAGCGGTGCACAGGAGGATCACTAATTTGGGATAAGACAAAATGGCTCACTGGGGATCTGAACCCACTGTCTTTGGCAGCATTATGTCTACACTCTCACTAGGCTGAGAGTTAGGAAAAGGCCTCTAAAACCTGATGACCCATCTATAACATCTTCAAGGGATTCTGAAGTTTTAAGGTATGCACATTTTGGGGAATACACATTAAAAGTAAGTTGACAATATAGCCTGCCCAATAATCATATTCTTTTAATTTAAGCCCCTCTTTATCATGTCCACAAAATCATATATACTCATTGTGAAAACTTCAACTATTGATGAGTATAAGAAGAGAGCAAATACTTATTCCATTGTGCAGATGCAGAAAAGGTCATCATAAACATTGGGGAACTATCCTTCAAACAACTCTTATATTCACAAGTAGCCAGAGAAATGGACAGACAAGAATAATTTTCTAGAAATAGGATCATGCCTTACAAGCTATTTTTTAAAGTTAAAAGTACTTATGGTACCTCACTGAGGTTTTGATTTGCATTTCTCTGATAATGAGTGATGTTGGGCATCTTTTCATGTGTTTGTTAGCCATCTGTATGTCTTCTTTGGAGAAATGTCTGTTTAGATCTTTGGCCCATTTTTTGATTGGGTCATTTATTTTTCTGGAATTGAGCTGCAGGAATTGCTTGTATATTTTTGAGATTAATCCTTTGTCTGTTTCTTCATTTGCTATTATTTTCTCCCATTCTGAAGGCTGTCTTTTCACCTTGCTTATAGTTTCCNTGGGATGATCTGAGAAAACAGCATCGAAACATGTATATTATCAAGTGTGAAACAGATCGCCAGTCCAGGTTGGATACATGAGACAAGTGCTCGGGGCTGGTGCAGTGGGATGACCCACAGGGATGGGATGAGGAGGGTGGTGGGAGGGGGGTTCAGGATGGGGAACACATGTAAATCCATGCTGATTTATGTCAATGTATGGCAAAAACCACTACAATATTGTAAAGTAATTAGCCTCCAACCAATAAAAATAAATGGGGGAAAAATAAAGTTAAAAGTATTTAATTTTTTATGATATCTACAAAAGAAAAATGGATTAAAGAAACTGCTAAACTTCAGATAAATGTTTATTTATCACAGGAAATCTTTTTGTTTTTTATAATCTTTAAGGCTAAAAAAACAGAAAACTTATTTGGAAAAAAATCATGAATCAGTATTGTTAAAAAAATTCCAGGTTTCACACTTAGGTGATATTGATTACATCTTCACTAAGAAAAATGAAGAAATAGGTTTTCTTATACTTTTATCAGTGTTTACTAATTTTATTACCATTATTCTTTTTGCCTTGTTAAGGTTTATACCATTTCATTTTATTCTTTAATTGTAATTCAAACTCATAATCTATCTCTATTTATCTATCCGGAGAAAAAAGAGCTAATAGATTAGGCTCTTATCAAATGTGTCAGCTCAGCCTCCAAGGTGGGCCTCAACACTCTTTGCCTCCTCATATCTCAGAGCTTATCTGTGTAACCAATGGGACGTGGTAGAAATGATGGTCTATGACCTCTGAGGCTGTGTTATAAAAGACAGCCTCGCACTTCTGTCTCATTTGCTCTAGGGGAAATTGTTGCCACATCATGATGACACTTAAGCAGCTTTAGGAGTTTCTCATGGAGAGGAACTGAGATCTCTTGCCAACAACCATCATCAGCTCACCAGCTAAGTCACCTTGAGACTGGGTCCTCCAGCCCCAGCCAAGCCTTCAGATGAGCCCTGCTGACATCCTGACTGCTGTCTTATTAGAGATCTTAAGTCAGGGTGACCCAGTTGTGCTGCTCCTGGATTCCTGGATAAGACATTCTGAGAATAATAAATGTTTATTGTTGTTTTAAGCTGCTAAGTTTTGGAGAATTTGTTCCACATCAGTAGATAATGAATACACCAGCCATTTATACCTCTTCAGGGATCTGATTAGCCAGTCTATTAGCAGGAATATAGAAAGGCATTTTTTTTATATAGAGGAAAAGGTTCTTGGGGAGAAGGAAGGAATCAATATTTATTAAATACCTACAATGTGGTAGGTATTGTTACCCTATGTTATCTTATTTAACCCTTATAGCAACCATGTAGAATTGTGCAGAGGGTACTTGCTTACCAACTTGGGGGTAGTCTGCTACAAAAATGTAATGACAGGACCTATAAAAAAAGATCCGTTTGCCTCACACTTTTGCAGGAAATATGTTTCCTATCAATTGAGCCTCATGGGGCAGAAATTTCTTCTGGGAAAAAATATTGACTGGGAATCAGCTGTGAAATACAATCAACCCACTAATTGAGAAATGTATATATCCAGCCCTGTGGCTCATTCCGTAGGGACATACCTGAGAAGTACTAACCAGAATTACCTTCAACGAGGCAGAGACAACACTTAAGTCCAGGAGTAGAATCAGAAAGCAAAGTGAGACAGTACTGACACAGTTAAAGTACTCCATTATTTGATTATTTGGCTTTCCTTAACAAGAGCCTCTCATTTGTCAGGTTGTACCTATGAAGAGCATGAAATATATGATTTCTGTTTGCTGGAACTAAGGGATGGTTAGACATGCAAAAATGATGTAGGCTGCATTATTTGGAAAACTCCCATGGTGCGGTGGAAACCTGTAGCTTGGATTGCCCAGTCCTATTTCTAGGGTACCTTACTTTACCCAATAGCCTGAAAAGTTGAAATCAAAATTTTCAGCTTCCCTTTCAGCTAGGCTTTAGAAGAAAATCAAGTTTTTTTCAATTAGAGGTATTTAGGAAAAATTTAGAAGGTAGGAGTGTAGCAGTCTTTAGCTGTTTTCTGATGAAAGTCAGGTCATGAACATATGATGTTTTCTGCCACTCAGGGCATTCAGCTGCCAGCTTTGTGGGGTTTGAGAAGCAGTAGGTGTGGTGACTCTGTGATTCTGTGTCCTGATTTTTGGAATACAGTGGTGGGTTCTTGAATTCAAGTTTCAGTGGTGGTCTCAGAGGTAAATCAGTTTTGTAGTATCCAGGAGTAGTTTCTGGCTCAACCTAGAGAGCTCCCTCCTACAACTCTGCCTCAAATTTTGTAAGCCCTAAATAAATACATATGTTAAATCCCATTTCGCTTACAATGCCTATAGGGTTTTCTGTTTCATGTAGTGAACCCTGACTGATAAATGCTGTAAGAAAAAACTCAATGTTCAGAGTTAGAGCAGGGGATAGAAGGGAAGGGGGAATAAGAAAGCAATTTTTGGAAGAGGTAACTTTTTTAGCATAAAGAAATAAGGATTTCAGCCAGAGGAGAGATGAGGGCGCCTGGGTGGAAGTGAGTAAAAGAGCCCATTTCTCCTTCTCCCAAGCTCATCACTTTCCACCCTTTAGCAGGGTGGGTTATGTTTTTTAGTAAGGCCTAGGTTTGAATGGGAGAAGGAAATGGCAACCCACTCCAGTATTCTTGCCTGGAGAAGCCTGTGGATGGAGGAGCCTGGAGGGCTGCTGTTCATGGGGTCGCACAGAGTTGGACACGACTGAAGTGACTTAGCAGCTGCATCAGCAGGTTTGAATGAACAGTTTCTTGGAATTTCTGTTTGCTGTCACTGGAAAGTGTGTTGTTTCAATATGGGATTTAATTCCCAGAAAACAGATTCTCACGGAGCCCCCTCATGGATCCTGTAAAGACAAATACATCTGGAGAAGGTAATGCTTTTCCTTCCCTGCTGCCTTCCTTCATCACCCCCCTGGAAACTGCAGGCTGCTGTCCGGGCTCAGCTCCTGATCACCAGCTTCCCCCAGGGAGGATAAAACGGAGGGACCAGGTGTTCTCTGACATGGCAAATCAGAAGAAAAATCACTGTACTGGGAGTGAGGAGACCTGGGATCTAAATTTAGCTCTGCTGCCTACTGGCTGTTTAACCTTGGGCGGATTTAATTAATAACCAAATCTTTACTATCTTGTGACTCTGCCCACTTCACTCCATTTAAAAGGCTGAAGTAAGCCAGAAAGATAAACACCAATAAAGTATAGTAATGCATATATATGGAATATAAAAAGATGGTAATGATAACCCTATATGCAAAACAGAAAAAGAGACACAGATGTATAGAAGAGAGTTTTGGATTCTGTGGGAGAAGGCAAGGGTGGGATGATCTGAGAGAATAGCATTGAAACAAGTATACTATCAAGGGTGAAACAGATTGCCAGCCCAGGTTGGATGCATGAGACCTGTGCTCAGGGCTGGTGCACTGGGAAGGACCCAGAGGGATGGGATGGGGAGGGAGGTGGGAGGGGGGTTCAGGATGGGGAACACATGTATACCTATGGCTGATTCATGTCAATGTATGGCAAAAACCACTACAATATTGTAAAGTAATTAGCCTCCAACTAATAAAAATACATGAAAGAAAAAAAGAAAACATCTTATTTTCACCTTGGAAATTAAGGCTAAAATTCACAAATTGGTTAGGCTTATTGTTTGGTTTATTGTAGGAAAAAGCAAACAAACTATGTCTGAGTATCCTAATCCCAAGTTTTATGTCTCAAATGTTACAAAATGAATCCCATAAAGAAATATTTTGTCTCCCGTCTTGTTTAAAAAAAAAAAGAAAGATTGAAACCTTATCACTTCTCCTGTTACACCTCCTAATATCTGTGCATGCTCCATGATCCATTCTCCTAGATGCATCCAGGATAATCCTGTAAGAATGCAAATAGGGTCATATCCTCATCTTTGACTCTTAAATGCTTCCCAGTGCCCCCAGGTTGCTAAAACTCCGGCAAGGACCTTAAGTCTGGTTTGGTCTCAGTGACCCTCTTTACCCTTCTCTCCAGAAAAGGCTGTATTTTAAGGTGAACTAGAGCCAGTGGTTCCTAAAGAAGGGCATTCATATTGAGGGGTACATAAGATAGTCCACTGGGATGTGGCTAGAACATACTAGAACTTCTATGTGTTTTTTTAGGATTTACCCAAAATGGACAGTTAATTAATGACACCTGCAGAGACTTCAGTTTAAAAAGAAAGATTGAATAAAATAAGCCCATATAAATTCCAAGAAAAGGATGGGACTGTTGTTTCCTCGGTTCTGATTATACAGTCATTATCAGCCACATTAGGACGTAAAGGCAATGGCAACCTAATTAGCCAAGATGAGAATTAGGCCAAAAAAGGGTCAAAATTATGAAGTTGACTTTATAAAGGATTTACATTCACTGTCATTAAAAGTGACCCTCACCTAAGTGTGTACGTGCCTTGACATATCGGCTGCTATAAGTGAATGAATATAAATTATAATTAGACAACCATATTGGGGTGCCTGCTCAAAAATATTTTCTGGTATAATTGCATAGTAAAGAAATTCAGAGACCACTGAGTTACGCATAGACTTGGGCCTAGATGTTCTAAGAATCTGCCCTAGATCCAATAAATGAGCTCTGGCTTAATTAAATAATGTGAACTTCTTGGTTATTGGTGATTTTATTGCATTTATAAAGTC